AACCATGGCTTCTTTCTCAGTGCCACTACAGTTTCTACTACTTCTTCTTCTAGCTCGAGCCGTGTATTCGTCTTCTGATTACTTAATCGGAGTCGGAAGCTACGACATTACTGGTCCTGCCGCCGATGTAAACATGATGGGATACGCAAACTCCGATCAAATCGCGTCTGGGATTCATTTCCGGTTACGAGCTCGGGCTTTCATCGTCTCAGATCCCCAAGGTAATCGCGTCGCGTTTGTCAATCTAGACGCCTGTATGGCGTCACAGATCGTCACCATCAAATTGCTCGAACGACTCAAAGCAAGGTACTGGAAATTGAATCGTTAGAATCTCATATAAGCATTAGGAAAATACGAATTCCATGCTTAAATCGATGATTATGTAATTAGGCATGATCCAAATCCGAATATAAAAATTTGGGTTCTTTAATCAAATATATGAACCGACCAGTGTTATTAGATAGATGAATTTTTGAAGTCGTTTCGATTACAGATATGGTGATGTTTACACAGAGAAGAATGTAGCAATAAGTGGGATTCACACGCATGCTGGACCAGGAGGTTATCTTCAATATGTCACATATATTGTGACGTCTCTTGGATTTGTTCGTCAATCTTTTGACGTACTCGTTGATGGTATCGAGCAAAGCATTATCCAAGCTCACCAAACTCTACGTCCTGGTTCTGTTTTTGTAAACAAAGGAGATCTTTTGGATGCCGGTGTGAATCGGAGTCCGAGTTCTTATCTGAACAATCCTGCAGCTGAGAGGAGTAAATATAAGTATAATGTTGATAAAGAAATGACATTGCTTAAGTTTGTTGATTCTGAGTTGGGACCTATTGGGAGCTTTAACTGGTTTGCTACTCATGGGACTTCTATGAGCCGGACTAACTCGTTGATAAGTGGCGATAACAAAGGCGCTGCAGCGCGTTTTATGGAAGATTGGTTTGAGGCGAATGGTCAGAAGAAGAATTCAGATAGCTTGAGACAAATCCCTCGGCGTGTATCAACTATTGTTTCTGATTTGAGCAGAAACTGTGAGTCCAATCGTTTCCTTGAGTTACATTTTTTGACAAGGAATTTGGAGACTGCTCAGGATGAAAGTTTATGGTTTTTGTTTTGTCTTTGCAGATAGCAAACTTTTGGATATTGCAGCTTCTTTCAAGTCATCTAGAGGACAACGTGTGGCGAAGTCACTTGATGCTAAAGTCCGAGTAAGAAACGGTTCAAAGCGTAGATTCGTCTCTGCATTCTGTCAATCAAACTGTGGTGATGTGAGTCCAAATACTCTTGGAACATTTTGCATTGACACTGGACTGCCTTGTGATTTCAATCACAGTACCTGCAACGGGAAGAACGAATTGTGCTATGGCCGTGGCCCCGGGTATTTCACATGATCTCTTTTGTTTTTTTTATGTGTCCAATTCTATCTTTTGTACATTCTGATTGGTGTTGTGTTTTATTTATGCAGGTACCCTGATGAGTTTGAGAGTACACGTATCATTGGAGAAAAGCAATTCAAAATGGCAGTGGAACTATATAACAAAGCTAGTGAGAAGCTGCAGGGGAAAATCGGTTACCAACATGCGTATATAGATTTCTCGAAGCTTGAAGTCACGGTTCCTAAAGCAGGCGGCGGCTCTGAGACGGTTAAAACATGTCCAGCTGCAATGGGATTTGGTTTTGCTGCTGGCACAACTGATGGTCCAGGTGCTTTCGATTTCAAACAAGGAGATGATAAGGTAGTTAAGCTTCCTTTAAACTATCCTCTTATTCTTAGTTCTCTCTGAATCTTGCTTTTATCGAACAATAAAGAATCTGCTTCCTTATGTAACTCCTCTGTTTTTTAAGGGTAATGCCTTTTGGAGAGTAGTAAGGAACGTGTTAAGAACTCCAGGTCCTGAACAAGTTCAATGCCAAAAACCAAAACCGATTTTACTTGACACCGGTGAGATGAAGACACCATACGACTGGGCGGTGAGTGGTTCTTAATTTCCTCTGTTTCTTGAAACCAGTTTATAAGATTTTTGAAATCATAGTTGTATTGACGATTTCATAATTGCATGAAACCGGCAGCCTTCGATTCTTCCGATTCAGATACTTCGCATTGGTCAGTTAGTCATCCTCAGTGTCCCCGGAGGTAACTCAACCACC